CACTGGACGGCCCCGCCGGGGCGCGCGCTGCCCCGCCGGGCTCTCTGCCCTCCACATCACTTTGCTCCCATGAAGCTCAACTGCCTTTTAGCACCAAACTGCTGGAAGACGGAGCAAGAGGGAGAACTGCCCGTGGGGATGGAGCATCCCCAGCCCCAAAGCAGAAGCAGCCACGGAAGAGCAGAGAAACACCCAAATCTATTTAAATGAGGCAGTTGACAGAGTTAAAGCATCATGGAACCTCCTGTGGGCTCGGTCCTGCCATCACCAGGGGGGCAGAGCGAGACCGCATCCGGCACCGGTGAGCGCGGCTGCAGCGCCGGAGCCCTGCACAGCCACCAAAATCCTGCCTTCACTCCCGCTGCCTCCACGGCCCCGGCTGCCCAGTCCTGCGGGGAAGGGAAGGTGTGGGAAGCTCTTTGCCCCCAGGTAAAGCAGTGTTGGATATGGCATTCCACCGCCCGCCGCACGCGGTGCCTCTCGAAGCAGAGGGGCCGTACATCGGGATGGGAGCTGGGTTTGGTGCCCACATCGAGGGATGGCTGCAGGCACGTGTTGCTGTCAGGCTGAGCTTTAGCCTTGCTGCGGGGTGGTAAGGCCTGACTGAAACGGGATTAGAGTCATTTGAGGCATCCCCGTGATTCTGCTTACCTTTAGATGGAGCGTGGATGTCTTGAAGTCACTCCTCGGTACTCCCAAGCTTTGAGTGCAATAGGGCATCGTGCTTGAGATAGGGTTAAAGTGCTGGGGGCTGGAGGGAGGGAGGCTCGCAGCGAGTTACCTGATGCACCAAAAAAGTACATGTGCTGCCAGCATCTTCTGAGCTGTTATCTTCAAACCAGACATTTCAATATGCTTATGCGTATCATCGCTTCGATCTCGCCGTGGCCCATCTCAGCAAAGAAGCTGCTGCCACTGGTAGTTGGATTTGGGTCTTATTTTGCAATTTCCTTCTGAACATCTCGTCGTTCAGATTGTTATCTGCTACAGCAGCATCTGCTGCCCCACCATAGGAAATGAGCCATTTAAGAGTGACAACCGGTTGAGAAGGATATTTGGGGACAGAGCAGTTCAGTAAGGCAGAGGGGAAATGCCAGCAAGAAACAGGCTTTTAGCTCCGCACTTACCAAACCCTTTGGGGAAGTGGAATGTCACAGGAGATTGGTGAGGTTTTGATTCACTACTGTTAGAAATGTGTCATAGAGGAAATGATAGAATCCAATCCAGAGGATGGCTAATTCTTAGCTCTAATTATCAATCCGTCTATCAGTCTATGAACCATGTTAT